GCCTGAGAGAAACACCTACGCTCCCCGCTCCCAGCGAATAGCGGAGATATGATAAACCCTTGAGCCCTCGAGAAATAATGTGATTTTGTTTGCTATTTCCTGAACTGCAGCATGACATGCCAGCATGTTACACTTCATACAGTACATGCCAGTCATTCATGAAATGCATTTCCATTATTCCGCATGGCTGTGCTGCTCTTTCTGTTGGTGAATCTGACTTTATAGGCATGGCCTCAGTCTCCCTGCTGTCTGTGTTGATTGTATACACTTTAACTTTTAGGCTGAAGTCATGTTGACTGTTCAAACATTCCTACCAATCTATATTTTATAGTTTCATTTCCTGAACATGATGCAGCCAACCAATGTATAATTAATTATTTGTATGGCACTAAGAAAACTAGATTGTAAAAAGACATTTTTTTTATTGCTAAATCAAACAACAGCATCCTGGCAGCAAAATAAGCCAAAGTCATTGGGAGTGTAAGCTTGGCTATGAGACTACCGATGGAGACTCAGATGAGCATTTCAACATATTTGTAAACTCAGACCTTCTGGACTGTGGCAGGAACAGGACAACGCTCACAGACTTTAGTATAAAAATCAACCTGAAACAATTCAAACAAGTGAGGTGGAGAAAAGTCCCCAGTGGAAATCACACACTTGTTTCAAGTTGAATTGATTACAAAATGTCTCACAGCATGATTCTGTGTAAAGCTTCAACTCAACACATCCCCAAGACTCCTGCTTTATCCAAACATTCTTCCATTTACCCCATCATCAATCCCCAGCCTCTCTCTCTCTCTCTCTCTCACCATTGATGTAAACTTCAACCACCCCCCTATGCTCCACACCCCTCCACCATCCACTCTCACACACACACACACACACACACACACACACACACACACACACACACACACACACACACACATGATCCTTGCTCACCTACCATATAGCGCACGCTTGAGTAAACACCAGACATTAGCTGACAGCGGAGGTAGCGGTGGCTCTGCCTCCTCTGAGCTAAATCAGTTAGCCTATCTCCAGTGGGGCCATGCAGTGTTTGCAGGCCTGCAGGGTTCAGAGGGTATTACTGTACTGTACTGTACTGTTCCACCCGGACCAACAAACAGGCCACTGCACACTCTGCAGCATCTGCTTGGATTTGACCCAAGCCTGAAAAGGAATGACTTGGATTTATAGTGAATGGGGTGTGATGCAAAGGAGCCGACTGGACAGGCCTGTGATACTGCACATAGTTTTCCTTGTCAAACCCACAAGTTCACACTTTTTATGTCTTGTGCATGTTTTTATTGTGATCTTGCTTTGTTGTACCCTCTTTTTCCCTCCTTGTTTTTAAACTCACATCCCACCTCACTGGGCTGAGCCACAACTTTCTGTATTAGATCTTCAATTTCAAAGCCAGATGTAGAGACTAATATATTTCACACAAACAATTTAGGCAAGGCCTGTTCTTGACTGAAAATCTTTTCCTCTCATCCATCCATTCATTATGAAGCTCATTATCTCATTGTGCTCTAAACCAGACCCTTAGGAGATAAGCCTTGTCCTTGACTTGTGTGATGTGGAAACAGATAAGCTGTTCAGCCATCTATCAAAGATGATACTGTACATATGTGTGTGTGTGTGTGTGTGTGTATGTGTGTCCACCTATTAACATATTACAGTGGACAAGGGGGTAGGTCCATGTCAGTCCTCTTACTTTACTTACTGTGTAGTGCATTCAGTATCTACATAACTGAGCTGTATTACCAGACACCCAGTGTGCTTATCAGTCTCTTCTGCACTGATGCAATGAAGTGTGACTGTAAAGGAGTCATGCTGTGTCACGCTTCACCCATCAGCTGCCTGTCATACGTCTGCATGTGCTGTTTTGTGGTGAGATCTTTTTCGTCTTTGCATTTACAGTATACACAAATCAAAAATGTTTCATACCCAGAGCAATGTATTAAAGGGCACTCCACCCATCACTATGCCGTCATCAGGGTTAGCCTAGGAATTTGATCGGTGTCGGCATTTAGGAGGCAGGTAGGGTCTAATGAAAGATGCTATGAAGTTGCAGTATGGGAAATGTAGGATCAGGGGTATTGACTCTTACAAGGAATTTAAACTCAGTATTTTTTTTTACCTCTTTTTTGTCTCTTTTTTTGTGTCTTATCTTGATTTAACGACAAGACTAAATTGCTGGAGTACTTTACTTTTTGGAGTACTGGAGTAACTTCTGCCTGGTGTTCAGGGAAGTACAGAATGTCAAAATCAAACTTTCTTGAGATCAATGTGATTATCTGACTTAAAGTCTTTGGTTACAAGAAGTACTATATTTGATTGTAACAGTTTTTCCCCTTTTTGCTTTTTGTTTGTTTTTTGATCTTTTGGCCAGATCGTCCACCCCTAGTATATAGTGTAAATAAGACACTGCAAACATGATGGCTCTTCCACTTTCTAAACAGGCAGTTGAACAAGTTTTCTAATCCCTGATAACAAACCTCTTTTGCTTTTAAATTCTTGTACATGAGGAGAACAAGGCGTTTGACTTGGTTACAGAACTGCACAGCAATGATGCCTGTAGTTTAGGAAACAACAGTGGATACTCACGACTAACCAATGACACTAACACAAGCTAAAAGAGCTATTCCTGTTTTGCAGTATCATTATAATTCATAAAAGCTGCAGTGCAGATCAGTAGGGGTCAGTGAGACCAGCTTTGCACGTGTTTGCCTGGGTGGGTATGATCAGTACTCCGTGCCCTTTTCTTCGCTGTTAAACAGTATGAACAGGTCGGCGATGGAGGGCAGCCAGAAATCGACTACCCTTTCAGCCAGGTGAATGTCATGGCACAGGCTCATATCAGAGCAGGACAAAACACGGGCAAAAACCTATGCTTGTATATTGTACTTTCATAAACAAGCCATATCCCCTACAGTGTATCTTATATTACTGAGTCTGCTACAACAAAAACTTGTTTCTAGTAAAGCTTTAACTCATCGAATGAAATGTATTTTTTCCATGAAGGGAGCAAAGGGGAGTTTTCCTTCAGTGATTCCCGGACATCATCACCACTGAGAGCACGCATTGCATATAAAGAACACACAAAGATCCAAACCAATCAGTACTCAGTTTGGTTTATTAAAATGTCCGTGCTCACCTGAGAGTCTGCAAAAGAATGTGCTACACAGACACCCTGCTATTTAAGACGCCTATTTCCTGTCATAGCCGAAGCACAATAATTCCCCTCAAGAGCCCAGCTGCCAGTCAACACTTCAGTTAATGGAGGTGATTTGCAGAGTTGTATCAGGAACAAACACACACTCAGAAATCAGTCTTGACGCTTGTAATGTGCCGGCAGAAGGATGTGTTAAGTGTGGGAAAAAAAAAGCAAACATTTTTAATTACTGCAGCACACATCGTTGTTTGTTTCTCGGCAGCTTTGCTCCTTTGTATTCCAACATCACTTCATCGCTTGTTGATGTGTGAAATGCAAAATATTCCCAAGAAAATAATTAACAAGTAGACAAACCCCGCTCCAATAACAAAATCTTGTTAATTCCTGTCCCTAATCCCTCTCGTTCACACCTCAGTCACTTAAGCATGCCATGCTAAAAGTTTCATTTGATAAAAATGTTCAAAACTAAAACATTTTCCATTTGCCACAAGGTTGATTAGGGCATCGTTTCTGTCGGGTTTCTGCCAGTTTTGATACAACAGCAAGTGATTTTCAGCCGCCATAACGTCGCATTTTAGCTACAATGAAGCCATTAAATGTGAAAGTTACTGCATGTTTTCCTCTGAATTATGAGTAGTCGGCATTCATGCTACTGCTTTTAAATAATAAATTAAAGCAAACCTTATCTATGATAAGCTGGAGGGGGGGGATGACTTCTGCGGTGATTAGCAGTCATTTGAGGTCCTCATCCCCACTGGGATATAATATCCACATTTCAGTTCCTATCTGTTTTATTGTAGTTGAAAGTAAGCCAGCTTTGTTACTCTTACCTGGAGGCAACATGGTCAGTTTCTCTTTGTAACACTGTGCCCCAGTTTCCAAGCAGCATTAACAGTGAAGCAAGTGTCATACAGCAAGTTTATAATGTATGTCACAAGAGTAAAAGTTTATCTGGGGCCTCAGTAAGAAAAGAAAGTTGCAGTTGTTAATGATATTTGCTTTGAAACATCATTAAAATTGGTCTTTTTTTTTTTGAATATTTAATATAAATCCAAAAAAACATCCTGAGGCAGTCAGACAGAGGTGGGAAACATCTGAGCCTATTGTGCATTTTTAGTGATTTTTTATTTTTTTGGAGGAGACATTTTTATGTTACCTAAAAGACGGGAAATGACATACAACCAAACTGGTTTCAAGCCAGTGATGTTGCAGTTACATGGTCAGCAACTTAACCACTATGGGACCCAGGACGACCCCTAAATTTATACATTTTTTAGCAAAGCATTGTCATTGGAAAAGAATCTAGATGCTACAATGAACTGCCAGCAGATAGTTCTGAATTATTAACAGGTGCTATGGCAAAAAATATTAATTCATGCTACAATAATCTGAAAGAATATTATCAATATAAATTGCCTTAATGCTAAGAATTTACATTGGATTCCTCAGTAAAGCACCAGCGTTGTGAATAGTTTCATATAGTGTTTAAAAGCGAAGCAAACTGGTCTTAACTTTGATAAAGTGTCTTTATATTTGCCTCTCCAGTGCCAGACTTACAACAAATGGAATAAATCAACACAATGACAGAAGGTGTGTGGGCGGAAAGTCCATGTATCAAGTTGCAATGCTCCATATACAGGTCCAGGTTGAGTTTACAGGTTGTTCATGTGCATTCATGGCTCCTAATGTGCGTGCTTTGTCATGTAGGTGGTTTATGTGTGTGTGTGTGTATGCATATGCAGAATATGGGGGAGGGGGAAAGACGAATATAACTAATCTTCCTCCTATTCTTCTCTCTCATTTTGTCCCTCGCAGGATGAAACTGCTGCAGAGGAAGCTGCGTGAACGTCAGACAAAAACCTCCTTATCTGTGAGAACACTGCAACTGAAAGTTCATCTGACAGACAACGCTGCGAAGAGGAAAAGCTAACACACAAGCATTTAACACTGGGAACCTGAGAAAAAAAAGCTTTGCTGATCATGGCACTTTAGTGCAAATTTCTATATACCTGCCAAAACCACATGGATATCCAACAATTATCTCCAAGCAGCCTGGATGACTAGAATATTCCCTCATCTGGTTTTGATGTCAATCATGTAACTGTAATGTTCTGGCTTTCCAATATCATCAAAGACACGAGACACGGCCAAGTTTCAATAGAAACCTCAATTTAGAAGGCTTCACGTGGACTTCAGAATAGATAAGACAGACAACAAGCAAACCTGTGTATCTGTCGTCATCATCTTCCTACATGCAGCTCCCCGCTTAGTGTTATTGAAAAGGAGGAGCCTGTTAAAGCATTTGATAGATAGGAAGGCTCGGTCTGAAGGTGTTGTTGCCGGCTGGCTGCTGGTTGGAGATGAGATAAGAGCACTGGGAAGAGACACAAGAAGTGGCTGTCTGACGGGAGCCGAATACAAATTTGGATTTGTCTCTCCTGCAGCTACACCAGTGAGGCGAATCAATACCAGAGAAGCAAAATGGACAAATTAGTCGGCTTCAATTATAGGAGGATCAGTCGTGAACTGTGAATTGTTTGCTAAAGGTTGATTTAACATCACATTGTAATACACAGGATGGGGAAATATAGGGAAATGTTGTCTTAGTTACTGAAAGGAGAAACCTTCAGTGCTTCTTCTATAGCCGAAACCAACAGTGCCACGCCAGAGTCCGGCCCTCTACAGTGCCATGCCTGAACTGATCTGTGAATGGTTTTTGATTATAATGATGACGCTGAGCCAAACCTTCCAGAAATAAGGTTTTAAAAGGAGCCGGGGCGAGATGGATAATAACTCACTGGACTACTTCACCGGCAACTTCACAGAGATCCCTAACACCACTACCGCTCCACCATGGAGCGAGGCCACACTCCTCGGCCTGCAGGTCTCCCTGTCTGCGCTGTTAGCTATCGTCACCTTGACTACCGTGCTCTCCAACGCCTTCGTCATCGCCACCATCTTTCTGACCAGGAAGCTCCACACGCCCGCCAACTTTCTGATCGGCTCACTGGCCGTCACAGACCTGCTGGTGTCTATTTTAGTCATGCCAATTAGCATCGTCTACACCGTCAGCAAGACCTGGTCGCTGGGGCAGATTGTCTGTGACATCTGGCTGTCGTCTGATATCACCTTCTGCACGGCCTCCATCTTGCACCTGTGTGTGATCGCGCTGGACCGATACTGGGCCATCACAGACGCTCTGGAGTACTCAAAACGCCGCACCATGCGCCGGGCGGGGATCATGGTCGGCGTGGTGTGGGTGATCTCAATATCGATTTCCATCCCTCCACTTTTCTGGCGGCAGGCCAAAGCCCACGAGGAACTGACAGAGTGCATGGTGAATACAGATCAGATCTCTTATACCCTATACTCCACCTTTGGCGCCTTCTACGTTCCCACAGTGCTTCTCATCATCCTCTACGGACGGATCTATGTTGCTGCTCGCTCCCGCATTCTTAAGACACCGTCGTCTTCGGGGAAACGTTTCACTACGGCACAGCTCATCCAGACCTCTGCAGGCTCCTCTCTCTGTTCTCTTAATTCCGCCTCCAACCAGGAAGCACACCTACACTCTGGTGGAGTAGGAGGAGGAGGAGGAGGAGGAGGAGGATCGCCTCTGTTCATGAACAGTGTGAAAGTGAAGCTGGCAGACAGCGTGCTGGAGAGGAAACGTCTGTGTGCAGCCCGGGAGAGGAAGGCGACCAAGACTTTGGGCATCATCCTGGGCGCGTTCATCATCTGCTGGCTCCCATTCTTTGTCGGCACGCTCGTCATGGCCATATGTAAAGAGTGCTGGTTCGATCCAGTGCTTTTTGACATATTCACCTGGCTGGGATACCTGAACTCCCTCATCAATCCTGTAATCTACACCGTATTCAACGACGAGTTCAAACAGGCTTTCCAAAAACTCATCAAATTCAGACGGTGATCCTGAAAAACCTCGCAGTGGATTAAAACTGACATCTCTAGGGAGGCAGGGAGTGAAAGAGACAAAGAATAAGATAATGGATAATAAAGATAGTGAAAGTACTCTACACTTAAATGTCTCATCTTGTAAACATATGCTAAGTGTGATATGTTTCTGTTTTCTTTTTTTACATCAAACAGCTCTGTGCCATAGCTCTTTAGATACCTACAGTATACCCATCCTATAGACTTCTGCATGCATGCTTTAAAAGATAAAAATCTTTAACCCCAATGATTATGGCTCTCATCTTCAAAAGATAAATAAAGGGGACTTTAAGTCTCTTACATTTCACAGGGACACTGCAGATGTTTCTTGAACAAAAGCAAAGATTTAAAACAAACAAAGACTGGTGTATTTGTATAGAAAAGGTAAACTCAAAACGTCTGGATTCAATCCAGAGGAAATGAAAAGCCATGAAATATGTGTCGTCTTAATCTCCATGTCATACTGTATGCTGCTACTCCCATATAATGTTTCTGTGGTACAGTAAAGACTAAAATCCTCCAGAGATTCAGCAAAAATGTCTCCATATGTGCAATTATAGTTGAAAGCAGTGTGTGTGTGTGTGTGTGTGTGTGTGTGTGTGTGTGTGTGTGTGTGTGTGTGTGTGTGTGTGTGTGTGTTACCTTACTGTAATATATGCATGTTTGAGGAGGGGAGGATTGTCAAGTGTCAAGTGACATTTACTGTATATGTGCTATTCTCCACCGACGCTTGTCTCGTCATTAGAGGGAAATGGAAACAGCATTTTTCACTGAATATTAAATAACATCTCGTGTTACAGGAAATAAACAAACCCTTCCAAAAAGTCCTCAGAAACAATATGCTCGAACAACAAAAGGTAGAGGTGAGTGCAAATGATCAGATTGCTGAAAGCAAATAGAGAATTATCCGTTTTGAGGAACTTTCTTCATGTAAACGTCTGTTTTACCTTTATGTGAAAAATTGGCACTTGCAGCTCGTACTTGCTGGAAAGCTGATTGGCTAATGTTAAAATGTAGACGATGACAAAGATGACATGGATCATTTTAGTGTTTGTTGATTCATGATACTGATATCTGTCATTTTAATCTTCTATTCATATGCTCATCCCTGAAAACTACAGGCTTACATGATTCAAAAATACACTGAGGTCTATGAGGGATGAAACTCCCAAAATTTAAAACAGATCAAATGATCAAATTAACAGATAGACGTGCTGTTAATATATATATTTATATATATATATATATATATATATATATATATATAAAGATATGGTATGAGGAAATAAACTATATTTTATAAAGATAAATTAGCCATCACGCTGCAATTATCATCATATCATGTTGTGGTCCGCATGTCAGTTACTGTCCATATCTATCCATATACAAGAGACACATGATAATTCGAACCGCAGAATATACAAGAACATAGAAGAACCTCATTGGTCGTGAGTGGGATCTGAATTGCTGCTATATTTGCTGCAGGTGGAAGAAACCTTGTGTTTATGAGCCCGATTCTCATCAAACTGACTGAATGTTTTCTTGAAGTTGAGACTTTAATCTGCAGCCTTTTTACTAAAAAAAAAAAAAAAAAAAAAAAAAAAAAAAAGAAAGGAGATGGATAACCTTCTCATGTTTGTCCAATGGATTGTTTTCAGGAAGGTGTGCACAGAGTTCAGCATGTGCCAGCTGCAGGCATGAGTTCAATGGGCTGGTGGGGGGTAACTGGAACTGGACGACCTTGAGATTAGTTCTGATTCTCTGTCCTCTCCAATAGGATATGGAAATTATGAAGTAACTTTAAGAAACTGCATAACATAACGTTTTAGTGTCTCAGTCGGTTTCTCAGTTGGATATGTTTGCATGGTAAGTTAAGTGATGCGGTATAAATAATACTGTAGGTTTGGTATCTGTTCAAGTGACTCACAACACAGATCAGACAAGAGTCAACCATCTCCACTTCTGGAGCAACAACGCAGGATGACCTAATGGATCTCCATCTGTTTCTGCCATTAATTCGTTATGTCCATCTCTCAGAGTGGCTGCTGTATATACTACATGCAATATATATTGCACATCTCTGTGATGCCAGAGCCTGCAGTGCTCTCACTCTCTGTCTCTCCCCTGGTCTGTACATGACTGGCTGGATGGCCTGGAGGAGTGGACAATCTTGCAGCCATAGTCAGTGCGATCATGCTGGAGCAGAGCACGTTGAGTTCACAGGAAAGAGACCAGCTTAACCACTTACAATGAATTTATTATTAATGTGCAATATTAATTTGTTTAGATTTTTTGAGAGAGCTCCGGTTGAACCACTGCCCCAGTATAAGACGTTACCATTACAGATGTTAAATGTGTGTTTAATTGGTGGGTTTTTAGCTGTGCTGGCAACATGAGTCTGTGGATGTCAATGCGGATCAGTCGCTTTGATCCAGACTGAAATATCTCAACAACTATTGGGTGAATTATCATGAAACTGAATGTTATTCATGAGACCTAATGATGCTCTGACTTTTCCTCTTGTGCCACCATAAGGTTGACATTTGTGCTTTTGAGTGAAACGTCTAATCAACTATTGGCTGGATTGCTGCTTCACATTCGTGTCCCCCTCTCAGGATGAATCATAATAACGTTGGTGATCCCTTGACTTTTCCTCTAGTGCCACCATCAGATCATTTCACTTCACCAAATACCTGCAAAACTCAAACTGCAAAAAAACCCCAAAAACTGCTGGAAAACAAAGAATTATCCAATTTTAGGAAAATGTGAATTTGTGCAGTTTAATTGGCAGTGACACTCCAAAGTTACAGTTTGATGTCTCACATATTATATCATTTCCTGTTTGAAAAAAGGAAAATGCTGATATTTTTTCATTTTCATGTATAAAATTAGTATGTAGGTTATATTTGGGACACAGCCTTAGTCTTATTTTGATCACTGACTTTCAGCAGCATTATTGCCGTATTAATCAATAATTAATTGTATATTAATGTCATTTTAGATTGAATTGTCTAAGAAAATAAAATCAGCCTTTGGTCAGAGTTGTCACTCCCTTGCACACAGACTGCTAAGTAGGACAGAAGTAAAAAGGGGGACAACATGTGACAACATTTTTAAGACACCAGCCACGGCTTTGAACAAATAATCAATTGTCATGGAAGCTAATGGCTAATGTAACCTTCAGAGTGTCAAGTTAATTACACTGTGAATATACCAAGCTCAGTGAAGAGAGGCCACATAACCCTTGTGGCATAGCAAAATGAATGCACTCTCTGAATTTATAGGTGGGTCACATTTAACAGTGTTAGACAAATAAAACCTAATTATTCAGGATGCAGCATTAAAGATACCACAATGAGCCCACCAGCTATCGATTTATGCCTTTGGGAATCACTGAGGCTTACAAATGTGTCTTAATTAATCAGCATGAAGAGACAAATTGAAACAAATTACAATAAAAGGAATACGTATCCGAGCAAAGTCGCAGGGTGAGACACAAAGGAGGCTTTCTGACGGCTGAGTTGGTTCAGCAAATGCCACGCTACATGTTGGGTTTAAATCAGGTCGCATGTGTCTCTCTCCACTGTGCACTATCAAATAAAGGCTAAAATGCCAAAAAATCACAGACTTAAAAAAGGAAAGGGAGAGAAAAGTAGTCGTGTCAGTCTGGATCAGCGTGGATACGAGACGGCTTCAGCGAATGTTAGGCTGTGTTGAGCAGTGAAACCGAAAGGTCAGGATACACTTAACCCCATGGGATGGGGACTGTCACTTCTCGACTCGTGTAAGGAGTAAAGCTGAAAGCGAGCACAGAGGAGAGGAGTTAGAGGAGGGGAGGTGAAAGGAAAGACAGCGACAGCTTTGCAAATAAACAAAATTAGCCCCCTGAGGCAGAGTCCAGCAGACACTGTTAACCAAGTCAGACCAAAGGCTTATGAGGTGCCACTCAAACACACACAATGTTTAGTTGCAGCAATACAGATCACTATTGTAAAGGTATGTTAGAGCTTGTACCTTTCTTTAAAAAAAATCAAGCTTAGACAAATGACAATTAAGATATAATTAATTAAAATGAATGTGAACGCAAGCAAAGTAGCCTCACCCTAGACTCCGCTGTATGATTGGCTTGGTTTGTTTATTCATAGTGCCTCCACTGCCTCGCTTGACTGACAAACTAACAGCTGCCTTCAGATTTGTTGTGGTAATTTGTTACTGTGAGGTAGTTGCCTTTTTAAAAAGTCAGCAGACGTCCTGACCTTTAGCCACAATTTTTCCAGGTATGTAATTCAAAGCTCAGAGGGTTTGGTGTTAACATTTTCTGATCTCTCCAGCACAGCTCTCCTGTTTTCTCCAATTTGCTTTAACGAAGGGAACAATAACCTAGTTTACTACTACAAATAAAAACAATGACCTGATGGCGCTGGATGAAAGGCAGGGGATCATCAAAGTTATTACAATTCAGGAAAATCCATTTCATAGTTATTGAAACATTTCACTCAAAACGACAAATGGTGACATCATGTTGATCAGACCCCATTGTAAGGTGATCATATTTGAAACGGGGGTATAGTATAGGAACCCCCCCCAGGGTCTAGACACTGGTGGTGGTGGAATGAAGATCTGGATGTGATGTGAACTGGACTCTGATGACCCCGACCTGGGCACTGGATATGAAGACTGGAGGTGAATGGGGTGGAGGAAGGTTGCAGCAATTTGAACTTACAGTAAGTGACAGCTGACTGCAGAGGAGAGGAGAACGGGTTTGAAGTTTAACAGCAACGACATGATTGGCTGATTGAGATCATGGCGAAATCTGATTGGTTTACAGAAAACGCCTGTAGTCAGCTGATTAGAAGAGAGAGAGAGAATGGTGAATGAATGAGGCCTGATGGCAGGCTTCCTGATTGAACTTGTGCTGAGTCTCATTAGGCTCCATCTTTACTGAACCATGAATGTCTGAATAAAATTTAATGACAATCTGTCCTCTTGACTGCACTGGACCAAAGTGGTTGACCAACCAAGAGATAGTACCATCGCTGAAGCTAGCCACCAGCATGGCTAATACAAGTAACAGCCCTTTATAGTTTATAATATACTGACTTCATATCCTGTTTTTTTTGTTGTTGTTGT